AACTATATAGTTCTAAAATAGATATTTTATTAATTCTAAAGAATAACTCTTTTAGAATAAATAAAAATCTTTTTCTTTTAAATATATTAATTACTTAGAACAAGTAATAATATAAATAAAATATATTCTAATAAAGCTATAAGCGTCTAGCTAGGCTTATAACCTGTAAAGAATAGATAAGTAATAAGAACTATTCTCTAATAATAGAATATAGCTTTATTAGAATAAAGTAGTTAAATACTATAATAAATAGTATAACTAATAAAGATTGCAATAATTAATTGCAAAGTAGATAGTAGGTAAAAGGTAATAATATTATTACTAAGTAAAGAATAACTATAGAGAATTGCTATTTCTTTTATAGAAAATAGCTACTAGAATAATTACGTAAATATCTACTTATTTCTGCCTAAAAATAAGAATTTATAATTAAATCCGCTTAATTTCTATTAATTCCTAGATTTATAATCTAAGTCTGCTAAATCCTTCTTATCTTCTAGATTTATAATCTAGACTAGTACTAATTATATTAGTCTATACGTTGTACTGCATAAACTAATAATTAGTTTATTACTAGATCTTTTAGTAATTGTAGAAAAAGAGATAAGAAAATAAGAGTTATTAAATTACGTAATAACTCTAATATTAACTAGGCTAAGACAAATAGAGGTATTTTAGAATCTTCTAGTGTAGTAGATTAAAACTAGCTACTAAAGTCTTAATTACGTAAGCAATTAGATTTACTAGGAATTTTTCTAATTTGTTAAAAAATTATAATAAGTGCAATCTTAACAAAGCTTAATAATAATAAAAAGATAATAATAACTAAGTTATTATAATCTTTACACTTCTTAATAGTAATTTAAATAGTTTCTAGCTTTTTTATATATCTATAATAAATTTTTATATAGTAAATATTATAGCCTAGTTTAGATTAGAGAATAGTATATAATAATTTAGTACTATTATATACTATTTTACTTAATTATAAAAAATTTATATTTTAAGACTATTAAATTTTATAAATAGATAACTTCTAATAGGTTTTCTAAGTATATCTTTCTATTATATAGTATATAGAATATATCTAAAGTTTCTCTTTTACTCTCTTTATAATATCTAAACTTATCTATAGCTTATTTATATAAAGAATAGATAGATAACAAGAACTATTCTCTAATAATAGAATATAGCTTTATTAGAATAAAGTAGTTAAATACTATAATAAATAGTATAACTAATAAAGATTGCAATAAAGTAATTACAGAGTAAATAATAGATAAAAGGTAATAATATTATTACTAAGTAAAGAATAACTATAGAGAATTACTATTTCTTTTATAAAAAATAGCTACTAGAATAATTGCGTAAATATCTGCCTATTTCTGCCTAGAGATAAGAATTTATAATTAAATCTACTTAATTTCTATTAATTTCTAGATTTATAATCTAAGTCTGCTAAATTTTTCTTATCTTTTAGATTTATAATCTAGACTAGTACTAATTATATTAGTTTATGCGTTATATTACATAGACTAATAATTAGTTTATTACTAGATCTTTTAGTAATTGTAGAAAGAGAGATAAAAAAGATAAGAGTTATTAAATTACGTAATAACTCTAATATTAACTAGGCTAAGATAAATTAAAGTGTTTTAGAATCTCTTAGTGTAGTAGATTTAAACTAGCTACTAAAATCTTAATTACGTAAGCAATTAGATTTGCTAGAAATTTTTCTAATTTATTAAGAAATAATAATAAGTGTAATCTTAACAGAGCTTAATAATAAAAAGATAATAATAACTAAGTTATTATAATCTTTACACTATAGCTCTAGTTAGCTATTATAATAATACTATTTATAATTTTATAGTTATAATCTTTAAAGAAAGTTTTACTCTTATAAATAGCTTTAATATAATTACCTATTTACTTCTTAGTTAGACTTCTAGAAAGACTAGTAACCTTCTTAGACTCTAAACTAAAAGTATTAAAACGCTTATACTTAAAAGAATTAATATATATAATATATTAAACTTATAATTATACTTGTTCTAAATATATACTTTATTATTAGAATTATTTAAAAAGTTATTACTAAGTATACCTAAGTTTTTACTAAGTATACCTAAAGCTCTAATAGCTATATTATATCTTTAGATTTCTAAGAGTAACTTATAGAATAGAAGAAGCGCGCTTTTACTAAGATCTTAGTATATATAATCTAACTATAAACTTTAAGAATATATTACTTTATTAGTTATAAGCTAATAAGTACTTATAATTATATTATAGTTCTCTTAGAGATTATTATTAAAAATCTTTTATAAAGTACTTTAGTGTTATAATAGCTCTATAGCTAGCTTCTATTTAAAAGCTTTAACTACGTTATAAATAGTAGCGCTAATGCTTTAAGTTTTAGCTTATTAATTTTTAAGAGTAGATAAAACTTTAAGTTAAATATTTTTTAGTATACTAGTAATAGGTCTTACTTTTTTAAAACTAGCTTTTAGGCTCTAGAATTATTAGTTTACTAATATATAGTTATATTATAGAAATTTATTTTTATAGAACTAGTTTTATATAAGTTATTACAGTATAGAATTAATATAAATATAAAAGTTTTTTATAAAATAATAAATATTAAGTTTATAATTATTTATAAGTTCTAATTATAAAAAAAAAAATAGTAAAGTAAAATAATATTATTAATTTTTTTTTAAGTAAGATTTAATATATATTAGAAATTAGTTTTATAAGTAAGCTACTAAGCTTATAACTTCTAGAGCTAGAGAAATAATTAATAACTAGAGATACTTAAGTATATTATATTAAATTACTACTAAAAAAATTAAAATAACATCTCTATTTATGTATCTTAGAGCTAAGTAATTATATATCTATAATTATGTTATTTCTACTACTCTCTAACTTTTATACTTAGATGTATATAATTACTAATATTTATAAAATTATTCTTTAAGTAAGATTATATAAGTAGTTAATAATAGACTTTCTAAAGAAACTAAAAGTATCTATAATAACTAAAAATTAGCTACTCTTTGTAAAATCTAAAGTAACTATATATAGAGTTAAGCTACTCTACTTCTAGCTAATACTAAAGGTAGTAACTAGATTTTTTTAAGATATAAGGCTTTTATAAGCCTTTAGGCCTATACTAGCTACTTTTATAAAGCTTATACCTACTTATATAAGTAATTATATTATACCTTATACTATATACGCGTTATTTTACTTTTATCTAATTATTTTACTTATATTTAAAGTTTTAGTATTTCTTACTAAGACTTAGAGTAGTAAGCTAATATAAAATATTATATTAACTTTCTTTACGTAGAACTCTAAACGCTAATCTTTATAATTACTATAATTATATTATATACTATAGCTAATTAGATAGCTTTCTAATTTAGCTAACTAAGTATTATACTTTTATTCTAAGATTATAACCTTTAGAGCTATATAAATTAAGTAATTATATAGTTTTATATAATATGTCTAAAAATTATAATACTACTATAATAGTATATATAAAAGTTTTTTTATAAAGAATTTAGTCTATATTTTAAAAGTATAGTTCTAAAATCTATATTACTTTAGTAGTATTAAGCTAATAAGTATATAAAGATAGATTATAAATAGCTATATAGACTAAGTTATTATATACTAAGCTTAATAGTAGCTTTATAGCTCTTTTATTCTATAAAAGACTTTAGCTCTACTAGAATAGTAGTAGATAAGTTATTAGCTATTACTTAATTTCTCTTATAATTAAGTAATATCTTATTTTAAATTATCTTACTTTAGTAGTAGAAGATATTACTTTTCTTTCTACTAGCTTTATAATTATAATATATCTAGTTTACTCTTTATTAACTACTTTATATCTTTAAAAATCTAATACTTAAAGTACTTTTTTTACTTTAATAATAGTAAACACTAACTTTTACTATAGTTAAGACTCTTAATAAAATATTAACTAGAGATATTAGAAAATAGTAGAAGATTCTAAAACTACTTTTTATAATATCTCTCTCTAGCTTTATTTTATATATCTTTATTATTCTATTTACTATATATTAAAAAAGTAAGTATTTCTATATTCTTACGTAGCTATTTATAATATCTTATCTACTATAGTTATATATTCTAAAATCTATCTATAGTAATACTATAATATCTTTCTACAAGAATCTAAGTAGTAAAATATATAATCTAATTAATCTATATTATCTAGACTTTCTAGATAAAAAGAGTTAGTATTAGAAAATAGATTACGTATATTATTATTACTAATAGTTATACTTATATTACTATTCTTAGTTACTATACTTAGTGTTCTATTAAATATACTCTTAGTCTACTTTAGTACTTCTACGTATAAGTCTATATATATATATACTTTCTTAATAAGTTACTCTAGTATAATAAAAGTACTATTTATATTATTAATAGTTAAAGTAGATAGTACCTTATACTATTTATATCTAAAGATTCTTTATAGCGTATATCTACTCTTTTCTAGTATTTACTACTAATTACCTTATTTATATAACCTAACTATAGATTAGTAATAAATTTACTAGCTAGGTAATTGTTAAAGAGAAAGACGTTAGTTATCGCGTTAAGAGAGCTTGTCTAGATTCTAATGTTACTTAGAGAAGCTAGAACCTTTTAACCTAGTTAGTAGAACAGGTCTTTACTAATGTAGTAGTGCAGACTAGTGTACTTAGGTCTCGGAGCTATGTTCTCGGATTTGGAAGACCGTGAATTGAAGTTTTGTTAGACCTGGAGTAGGATGGGAGGAAAGCCGTGCGGCATAGCTTCATATTGACTATTACCTCTGTCGCTAGCCAAGCCGCTTGTAACGAACGGTCAGCTTGGCAGCACTAACTACTTCTATAACGCGAGCGAAAGCAAATGTTTAGACACCGACTCCTCCCTCAAAATGCCCATTGCTCCAACCACTTCCTGATCACCTCCGCATCCACAGCTCTGCCCCCACGCAACGTAGCGCTCACAGACTCCGTCCTCCTCGTATCCAACGCCGGCAATCCAATCGATTCCGGTCTGAGACTCTGGTAAAAGTCCAACAACTTGAGCCCAGGGACGCGCTCCGCATTCTCCTTCGTCTGCGGGATACGCGCCAATTCATCGACCCAGTCGTTATACTCTACAATCTCCATGTCGTCCTTGTTGTCCTGGGTGTAATAGTCTCGAATGACAGGGTACAGCTTGTCCCAGCTAGTGGTGTGCGGATTAACCAGATGGTATACCTGCACAGGCTCGGGTTCTGAGACGGTAGCGTTGGCGATGTCAATGACAGCTCCGGCTGCAACGTCCATGGGCACCCAGTCCACTCGATCCATATTACCTAGCGTCCGCGGCAGCTTCTTCAAGACCTTGCTGGTGTGGACTATAGTCGGCAGCCACTCATGGCGATTCCACGCTGCACCACCCGCGTCAGTACTTGGTCCCGCAAGTTGTCCCGCACGCACGATGGCCGTCTTGATGCCCAGGCGATGCGAGGCCGTGGCCAGGATCTCAGATGCGACATACTTGGACTCGCTGTAGCCCTGGGGTATCGTGATTGCGCTGTCGAAGAGCGTGGCGATTGATTCTGGGACGGCGGATCCATCTTGCACGACGCTACGCCAGTCGCTCACACTGGCGATCGAGGAGATGAAGATGATGGGTGTTTTGTGAAGCGAGGCAGACGCGAAATTTATCGCGCGATAGGTGCCTGCTACGTGTGTGGCCTCGTAGGATTCGAGCGAGAGGTTGAAGTCGACAGACCAGGCAGCGTGGATGAACGATGTAGCAGTAGACAGAAGACGCTCGTAGGTAGCGTCTGGGAGTCCGAACTGGTCGGCACTGAAGTCTGTCTTGAGGAACTCGGCCTTGCTGAAGTCGGCGTTTGGGTCGTGATAGCGGGTAAAAGACTCCTTTTGTCGTACTTCGGCGTTGTCCGAACGGTTCAGGCAATAGACTCTCTCGACCTCTGGGTTTCGAAGCAGTTGCTCCAACATGTGACTGCCCAAACTACCTGTTGTGCCGGTAACAATCACAGTTTGCTTGCGTGGACGAGTGACCGCACTAGTCATGCTCTTTGGTCGGACCATATCCTTAGTGTACTTCCTGACCATCGCGCTGAGTTTCTCCTCTCGGGTCTGTGGCAAGCGTGCCTGCACGGGCGAGTTGCTCACGGTCTGTGACAACGCCGCAGCCAGTTGCTTGACCGAAGGATTGCTGTAGATCATCGATGAGGTCACTTCGGCACCACGAACGGCCTTGTTGAGCGCGTTGGTGAGTGCGAGCACATCAAGAGAATCGACACCCAGGCTGAATATCTCGACATCGTCTGCCACGTCGTCACCGAATGAGGGAAGATTGCGTGCGAAGACAGCTCGAATCTTGCCTGCCAATGCGACATCGCCATCAGCATTCTGGTTCGGGTCGCTCGAATAGCCCTCATCCGCGTAAAGGGCTTCAATCTCGTCCTTGAAAGCGGCAACGGTCTGGAGACGAATGGTTGAGCCCTTGCCGGCGCGGACGAAAGGTTTCTGGTCTTTCGCAACGGCAACCTTCGTCTGATAGATCCGGGCGTGCGCGGGCGCTTCACGATTTGCTTGCTCTACCATCGGCCAGATGTGATCGATCAAGGCAGAGGGGTCTTGCGTGCCGGCTCGTGACCACTCTGGTTCGATAAGAAGACCGGCCTGGAACTTGCCTGAGCCAACGACTAGGGCACCCTTCACCCACGGATGCGACTCAAGCAGCTTCTCCGTGCTTACAGGGTTGAACTTTTCGCCATTGCTCAAGACGATGATGTCGTCTCGTCTTCCACTGTACTTCCACAGATGAGGCTTCGATGGATGGCGACTGAACAGATCCTTGGTGCGCCATTCGGATATCTCTGGAAAGGTGTGGAAAACTGCCTGGTATCTGGTGTCTTTGGGTTTGATGACCATTTCGTGCAAGTCGTCACCAGCAGGCTCCATGACGACGCCCGCAGCAGCACCCCAATGGAAGTAGCCCCATTCTTCTGGCTTGGATGGGAGCAAGGTGCTTATAAACATGGCTTCTGTGCTGCCAAGGGTTGTCATCAAGTTCGTCACTTGACAAAGCTTGTCACCAGCCCCTGGACCGAGAGGCGCACCGCCAAAGAAGACGTACTTGAGCTTCCCCATTGTCTCGATGCCTTTGGGCGTTGCAGCAATATCCTCCAGTACCGACGGTGGGAAGATACCACAAAAGGGTTTTACCGCCTCGATCACGTCAATGACCAAGCCTGCGCTCAAAGGCTTGTCCGCTGGTAATCGCACGATGGTGCCACGGGACATGATAGATCGCAGCATTACGATTACCCCCATGCCATGGAAAAAGGGAGCGGCAGCAAGCATGGGCCGTGGATCTGCTAGAAAAGGCTTGCTGGTTTGTTCATGTCCATCTTCCGGACTGAGGTGCGCTTGTTCATACAACGTATTCAAGCCACCAACAGTCTCGTAGATAGGCTTTGGGAGACCTAAAGTTGCTGTCAGTGGATTGGGACGACGTGAAGAGCAAAGTTGAATGAGATGATAGAATTCGTACCTGTTGAACCCGAAGTGTGCAAGATCAAGCTATGAGCGGTCACGTCACGATTTTGTCTGCCAGGGTAGTGCTCCGTGGGAAGACTTGGATCAACCAGCTCTTTAGTAGTGGGCGTCTCGTAGATCCTGAGACTAGGCACCGCCCCTTTGATTGCCTGGACCTGCGGCATCATATCGACTGTGGTCAAAAAGATGGTGCACTCTGTCTTTTCCACGAGTGACTTTTGACCATCGAGCGAGTTCCGGGGCGATGTGAATAGCGGTATGTAACCTGTCTTCAGGCATGCTGCTAGTACCACAAGATACCGTAGATCGTTCGCGCTATGCAATGCGTAAGTATGCAACATTTGTGACCGACAAGCAGATAAGATTGCCCACTCACCCCATATAGCCGATTGTCTGGCCCACCTTTTCGGCCACACCACACGTTCGCTCAATCCATCGCGACATGTTGTTCACTGCACGCGCAAGATCGGCGAATGTGACGTGGTCCCATCCTTCGTCCAGGCTGCTGCTTGAACGCGGGACTATAGCCCATGTTGAGTTAGGAACAGCCTCAGCTGCAGAGTCGATATAATCGGCAACGGTATTTTGCTGTCCTCCTGTATGCTGCTTTTGATGTGTTGTTGCCATGGCTAAGATTATATATCGATGCCGAATGTGGATGGTACGATTTGTTTAGCGTTGTTTCTAGGAAGGGACGCAGTCCGACAGGCAGCGACGAGTGAGATAGCTTGTCTCGATGGGTAGTATACGTGAGTGTTGATTCGGATAACTTTGAGTGATAACAAGATCGGCCTTGGGTTATGAGATTGATGTCTTCCATTCTGAGGGACTACGAGCTAGATATACTTCGGCGGGCGCTAGCAGGTAAGGTCGAAAGCTTATGCCAGCGAAGAGCGCGGCCGCGAAATGCTGTGATGTTTCACCGGAAGCATGTCCTGTCGCCATGCCGAACGTTGTCCGAACAATTGCGGTGGAGCATGAGGCATGAGAGTTGCGCGATATACAGCAGGGGGGCGGCTCGTTAGAATCATCCATGAGGAGTCTGTTCCGTTATATGGACAACGGCCGATTCGATCTAGTCGCTGCAAGTGATTAATATCTTGTGTAAGATGCTACGCGTCACCACGAACGGTCAAGATTAGTTGTAGTGCGCGAAGTTGTTGTGTATGGATGACGCAGTCATGGAGATCCCTGTGCCTATCACCTCGGCCGAGCGAGCGTTGTGATTATTGAGCGTGCCATGAAGGTCGGATGCTGGCGGCTACCACTCACGGCAAGGAACTTACTCTCAGGACAAGTAATATACTTTGTACGAACGGTTGTGAGACATTTACTGTCGTCGTACATCGAACTTTAGACTCGGCGCATTCAAGCATAAGCATCAAGAAGGAACGGCCCGATGAGCGCCACGAAGCTTGACTAAGCGCTATGATGGCGCAACCCCACCTGTGATAGATCCGAGCGACACGCGCGCGCTATCGGATATGTTCCTACATCCTCGTCGACCCATCTAGGCGCTTCAGTAAGCTCAGCCAGGGTTCATCGGCTTGAAATGTTGATATTACATTGCATCACGCTTTGCGCAAGAAACTGCCGAAAATGTCTTCCACAGAAAGACCGTATTACGGATGGTATCAAGTAGTCGGGTATCAAATAGAGCATCGAACGCCGTCTTTCGCATCACCTCATCCTGCAGCAGGTGCAACCCTGGGCGTTTCCTTTTCCTTCTCTCTTCTCTGCGAACCCTTCCTACGTCTTCGCTCCGGCTTATACACATCGTTGAAGTTGATGTTGACAGCCAGCATCTTCAATTCACCGTCAGGCGAATGCACCAGATCTCCGAGCAGGATGCTGATTCTTGCTCGGAAATCTTCCGTCAACTGACTCAGACGCTTTTGTAGGGCTGGTAGAACATCATCTTCGGCCGAACCAGTCATGCCGATCTTGAGGAGTGGGGGTGGGAAAGGCGACTCGTCCTGGCGAGAAGCCGCACGAGAGTGTGTGGGAGCGAAGGGATCTGAAGATGAGCGATCTTTCTCAGAGAGACCCCACCGACCTGCTGCTGTACGTGTCTCGATCTTGGCCGCGTGCTCTTGTCGGCGCGTGAACTCAGCGACTGAGAATGAGTACAAGCCATCCACCGCATCTTTGTATGCCAGCATCGTCTTCAGCAACTCATGAAGCTGCCCTGTGAAGTCGATACTAGAGCTTCCGAGAAGACCTTTGCGCGTGATGTTGTTGAGGTATATCGCATGCGCTTCAATCATGTCGTCCAGCGTGCTCTCCGGCTTGTTGAGCGCTCTCTGTAGATCGATCCATGATGACTCTATGACTTCGAATAGGATATAGTGCTGCAGCTGGTTGACAAAATGTACCATTTCAGCCATTGCGCAGCGTGCTTTCTTCCAATCCGCGCCGAGTTTATCGGCTACGGTGCCGAGAACACCACGCGCACCAGTCATGCATCTGCGCCATGTTGAGCCAAGAGCAAACTCGACACGCTTGACGCGCCAGAGGAAGTTGAAAACTTTGAGGTATTGCTTGGAACCGAATGGCGTGACGATGACATCGACAGGTGCATCAATCTTATATTCAAGCGTGAAGACGTCCCATCCAATCTCACCATGTGATAGCTCCAACATGCGTGAGTCAAGGCGGCGCAGTACATCGGAGGTGTCAAATTGGGCGTTGGAGTTGCGAACGGCATGTTCGAGTTGGGCGGTGAGCGTGTGCCGGTATTGCGTGTTGGCTGGCCGATCGAGGTTGGAGGAAAGTGATTCCATCAGGACGGCAATGAAGTCGCCAGCGCCGAGCAGCATATACTGCTTGAGAGCCTGCAGATGATCGAACAGCTTGAACTTGTTCCCCATCAGGTCGATGAGACGAGCCATGGTGGTCTTGTAGGCGTCGCCAATGGAACGCTCGAGATTCGCAGTGTCGCCGTACTGCAGCTCCTTGGACGCTTCCTTGGAGTATGTGTCGACCCATGCGGCGTCTCCACAACCATAGCGAATGAAGTTGAGGGTCTTGCCGATAAGGAAGACCTTCTTGGCAAAGTCGTCGGTAACGATGGTGGGAACCATCTTGTCGTTCAGTCTGTATTTATCTTCCCAGACGCTCGTCGCGCCACCTTTCCCCTCGTTGCCGTTCGCCTCGAGGATGTCATCCTCGCTCTGTTCCGAGACGAAGAATTCGCCGAAGGGATCGGCAAGCTCGCCGTCGTAGACCCATTGCCGGAGCATGTCGTAGAAGGGCCGCGTGACATCGGAGAGAAGGCGCTCGGCAAAGTTCATGACGTACGGGTCGCCGTGGTTGAGGGAGAAGGAATGTATGAGAGCAATCAGCTCGCCGCCCTTCTTGCTTTTGGATTCCTCGACCATCAAGCTCATCAAGCGCAAGCCCATGGTCGGTTCTCTTATCCAAATGACGCATCGCTTGAGGGTAACGCCGGCCTTGCTGACGCCCTGGGGTGTTGATGCCTCGTTCAGCTGTGCCAGCGCTCTCTTGATTTGTCCTTCCAAGGTCGCGACCAGACCCAGGTATGCTCTCAGCTCCTTGGCTAGAGCTGCGCGGAAGCTCTGCTCGATGAGGCCGCCATCGCTCGCCTCGACGAATTCGGCCAAGCCTTTGTATAGTATGGCGGGTTCAGCGAGGGTGTGTAAGAGGCTGACGATGGGTACCGGGAGGCTCGTGGGGAGCTTGAGGGCGGTCGACGAGGGAAATGCGAGGTTTGTCGATGAGTAGCCTTGGAGCGTGAAAGGCAGCTCCCGCAGCAAAGTCGGCTCAGAGGGCCCCGTCTCTGCCTTTTCCACATGTCCACCATTGGCTTGCTGCTGTTCCTTTGCGGTGTCAGGCCGTCTTCGCTTCTCAGGCTTCTCAGCTATCGAAGCTGGACGTGTGGATGTGGGTGCTTTGGGCGATCCGGCATTGACAGGCAGCTGGGCGAGGCCGGGCTTTGCAAAGGCGTCTTGGATGGCGTGGGATGAGGCTGCCACGCTCTGGCGCTTGGAAGGCGTCGTCGGTTCGCGGGAGAAACTGCGGGTATCTTGGGCGGGCGGTGGCTCATGCGGCGCTTCGGCGTTGTCGGAGAGGTTGTAAAGAAAGTAGAGCATGCGCCATTTCTGGTCCAGGACGCTCTGTGTCTCCAGGCGCGAGAGAAGGTTGTGCAGACGCGCGCTCTTGCGCTGGTCATTGTTGGGGCCCGAGACTGTCACATGTTAGCGGAAGACACGTGATTCACCTCGCTGTAGTTACCTTTGCGGTCTATGAGGCTGGCGATGTGCTGGACGTCGGGAACGAGTGAAGCATCGCCCGCAGTCGTGAGCTCGTCGAGCGCGAACTCGTAGGCATCTTCGAAGCGCTGGTTGGCCTCGTCTTCGTTCTCATTGGGATCCTCGGGCACGATGCGGACCAGCAGCTCGTTCAACGCGTGTTCGACGCGCTCGCGGTGTAGTGTGGCCATGATGGCGCCCTGTTTAGTCGCGAGTCCATTGGTGTTGACCTCGGCGGGGTTGACGCCCGCCCGTGCGCGTTGCCCAACCTCGAGCCAACGCGTCACTCTTTATTTGTCAACACCACATCTGACCATATCCCATATCAGATCCTCCAACAAATTGAACAGAAGTGTACATCGTCTTTCATCATGATCAGATGCTAAATAGCAATAATGTGTATGCAGCAATTGCTTAATGCGACATGAGTTCTTGCGAATTTCGGTGTCACTCGTCACCCGTCGTTTGCGTGTGGAATGCATCAGCGTTTGCAATTAGGTAGGGGAAATCGATATCATTATGAAGCGCCCACTTCAATGTTTCGTGCAAAATGGCTACGAGTATTTGTCCTCCAAGCCATCACCATCATCCCGCATACTAGAGTACAACTTCTATGAACAGCCCGGACCAGGACCCGGACCAGGACCAACTCTGAGTCAAAGACGCGATCTTCCCGATCAACTAGAGACTTTTGTACTTTGGTCTATCTGGGCGCAGATCTTACTATCGCCTTCCAGCCATTCCAATTTCGAGCACACGGAGGAGGCACCCGACGTACGTCCTGACTAGAAACCGACATTCGCCAGCCGCCGATATGGGCACCATAGAGAAGGACACCGTTCATTCCTCAAGACGGCCCAAGCTCCTCACCTATGACGAGATCCAAGACTGGTCGCGAGACAACGAGTTCATCCATACCGGCTATCGCCCAGAGAAGCCCGAATACAAAGACATCTTCCTCAGCCTGACCTACCTCCACAACGAGACCTGCAACATATACACCCACTTGATTGGCGCGATACTGGTATGGCCTGTCGCATACATCTACATGCAGATTCTGGCCGAGCCCCAGTACCGCAACGTCCTACCGGCGGACTATGTCATGTTCAC